GAGAAACTATAGAACCTGAGCTTACCAAAACATAAAAGGAAATAGAAGAACAAGTTGTCACAAATGTAGACAAATAAATGTAGATGGGCAGACTTTCACAACCTAAAAGTAGTAGATGACAAGATGTAAACAGTTAAACGGACATGAATTTGAAAATTTTTGGTATGGAATTAAAACGTTACGCTGTTTTGAGAAGTTAGGCAAAATCCTTCAAAGAGACTGTAGTAAAACAGTTGAAGGATCCGCGCGCATGCTTTACACCAGTTGGTACACACCAGCAAATGACTTCACCATACACCACTCATCTGCCTCTTATCACTTTATCTAACTAATCCTTTATGCACAACCATTTTTGTCTCAGCTTTCATAAAAAAAAAAACATATTATAATGGTAAAGAACAGGAAAAGAAAAATACCAAGCTCACTATGAAATTATCTACTGGTGTAGCAAGACATAATATTTATAATAATAACAGCAGGTTTTTTGTTAACTGTCTATATAATGAACCAAATAATAGGAGTGTGTGTTTTCTTATAGTAAAGATACATTGGGCTATCTGTTGTGTACACCGAGGGGAATAGAACTCCTGATTTGAGCGTTGTAAATCCGAAAAATTACCGCTGTCCCACCGGGGGGACTGAAATAATAGAACATTAAGCAACTTACCCCATAGTAGCTTGAGCACCAGCCTTTAGTTCTTCTTTGAGAGTAGGTAAGGTAGTTGCCCATCCATCAATGACGATTCCCAAATACCTAAATGACCAGCCTTTAATGTCTGCTTTTTACAGTCTGATTAAAAAAAAAGAGTTTAGAAATAGAGTGCAGACAAAAGAAGAAATCCCTGGAATACCTTGCTATGGTTCTGGATCAACTAGTACAACTTTCATACTCAGAAATATCCTCAAGAAACAACGGATTAATTTAAAATAAAATTTGGCATGATCAGGTCGTTGATGTCATTTAAAATGAAGACATCCACATCTGACTAAAGGAAGGTAAAAATAATACAAGTATTATGGAACTCAAGTCCTTCAGTTTTACTGATAGATAATTCAGAAAATCTGCTTAAAATGCAATAGTATTAAGGCGGCATATATGGACACACCTTCTGACTAAAAGTGCTACTTACTCAAGCAAATAAAATAATCAGTAAGTAAAACTCCCTAAAAGTGAACTATGTTTTAAATGCAGAAAAACTGTGCTAGATATTGCAAATAGACGTATTTCACTGAAAAATTATGTTCCACATCGATTACTCTTAGGGCATTATTTCCATAATTGAAACAAAAACACACCAACCACATCAAACACATTTAATGGCTCTTATTATCTTTGTGGTCAAGAGGGGAACTATGTCCATTTGTAACAAATGAAAATGTCGCGAAAACGAGAAGTAGCCATGGATGTGTTAAATCATTGTCTACTAGGACTTGCAGTGAACATTATTATACTTCTGTGAATCGGGAGATAGTCTTTAAGAACAGGAAGGCCAGTTTACATTTAGTTAAGCTGAAATTCCAAAAATGTTATCAACTCCATTCTTCTTTCTCTTCGAAAGGTTTGATATAACAACAAACACATACAATGTTGAGCTAATTAGTCACGTAAGCAAAGAATTAACTGAGGGCATGTTACTAAGTTTCTCCTTCCCCTCTAGAAAAGTTTCGGAAATTATCACCAGAAAATACAGCTTAAACTCCATCACCTCTCATGTTTACACAATATTTGAAGATAATATTCGGACTTTTACCATGTTTGTCTGGAAAATAATGCCATCCCGCAAATCTACGAAAACAATACAATTCATCTGAAGAGTATTGTTGATACTATTTATGATAAAATGAAGTTAGCCTTTCACAGGATGAAGAGACTGTACTTTCATCTCTCACTAAACCTAACCAGGTGATATAACGTGAGTATACAACCGAAAGATAAACATAAATTGCCAAAGTTGAGTTGGGAGAGACAGTATATTGTAGAAGAGCGTGTCAACGATATAATGTACTATGTTTAAAATACAAAACATTTCAAGCCCAAGATTGTTTATTTTGATTGACTGTTGAGATAGCATGGTAAAAAACCATTATCAAAATGGCCAAGTTTGTTTTTAGCACATCTTCGTCAAATGAACAAACATCAACCCTTGATAACAACTCAATCACATATTCCAACATTTTAAGTTAGTGAGAAAAATCGAACTAAGTTTCAGGGCAAGGACCTTCAAGATGAAATGTCCAGAGTTATTGACAGTTTTAAGGTGACAATGATCCACCACCGACCGAAGATCTCTACACCACTGTCAGGGACGGTGGAAGAGAATAATATCAGGTAAGCTTAGTTCCTGTTCAGGATGAAGTGTCCAAGGCTAGTTACAGGCTTGATAATCAACCCCAATAACTTCTCTACACCACTCTCAAAGCAGCAGAAGAAGAAAATAACATCACACAGGTTGGGTTCTTGTACAGGAGGAAGTGTTCTGGGTTAGTGACAATCTCAATTATGACGATGTTGGTTTCGCTCCTATTCGAGATGAAGTGTTCTGGGTTAGTGACAATCTCGATTATGACAATGATGGTTTCGCTCCTATTCGAGATGAAGTGTTTAGGGTTAGTGACAATCTCCATTATGACGATGTTGATTTTGCTCCTATTCGAGATGAAGTGTTCTGGATTAGTGACAATCTCCATTATGACGATGATAGTTTCGCTCCTATTCGGGATGAAGTGTTCTGGGTTAGTGACAATCTCGATTATGACGATGATGGTTTCGCTCCTATTCGAGATGAAGGGTTTAGGGTTTGTTAAAGTTTCAATAGTGACAATAATCTCCCACCAAAGATTATAACCCTTATATTCCAGTCGTTAGATTCCGTCTATTACCGATTGCTCCTCTGGTCGATCGTGAGACAGCAGAGGGAACTGAATCATTCGAGTTACGTTCCATTGTCTAGGACAGCGGAGCTTGGTTCATGTTCAAATAAAGAACTGTAAAATGTAATAGATGTGAAAACTATTCCAGAAACTTTACAAGGTAAGAAATGTAATTATTTTTACATGTAAAACAACTTGTAAGAGAACTGTGGAACATACAATAAATGAAGCACAAAAACATTCAGCTATTTATATCTTTCTTCAATGAATAAACAAATCAGTATTGATCAATAGCTTTGGGAATATTCTCCGAGTTGTAAAATAATATACATGAATATTTGATGAGTACAGTACTTAGAAATAAAATAGTTTTGCGTCCCTTTTATTTTCTTTTTTATAGAAATTTAAGTATACCATGTAAAATAGTATCAAAAAACATTCATAACTCATAAATAAGATCATTTGAAAAATAAGAATATTGATTTTCACAAATCTTAATACTAGCAAGTGAAAACAGTATTTACTGCCTTAGAACTTTATTACAGTGTGACTGGGAATATACCTATCTTCAGATGCTTGACTTTACAAGTTTATTTGCAGTTTCAAATATTTTCTGAATAAATTGATTTATACGTTCTTCAAGTGTAAATAATGTCGAAATTAGAAACTGATGTTGCGAGATTTATTATATTGAAGGTTCACAATTCAGCTCTGAATTACATCTAAATTAACTAAAAGTAAATTTACGCTACGAAATAGAAATTCAGTATTTATCAATATTCATATCACTAAAACTACTCTAAACAAACGGTTTTGATTGTTTTCAATTCTCATTTGTGATATAGGAGCTTAAACTATCTTTCTGTAACCTATTTTCATTTTACATATTCTCCGATATAGGAGCTTGAGCTGTTTCTTTATACCTATATTTCCATGTTGCATATTATCTGGTATAAGAGCTTGAACTATTTCCCTATACTTATATTTCCATGCTATATATTATCTGTTATAAGAGCTTGCTTGTTCGTTGTTGTTTTTAGAGCAAAGCCACATTCGGTTATCTACTGTGAGGAATCGAACCAAGGATTTTAGCGTTATAAGTCCCACATTTACCGCTGTTTTACCGGGTGACTATAGGAGCTTGAGCTACTTCTTTATACTCATAATTCAATGTTACATATTTTCTGATATAGGTGTTTGAGTCAATTCGTTATACCTTTATTTCTATGTTACATATTCTTTGATGTAGGTGGTCGAGCTAATTCTCTATACCCTTATATCCGTGTTGCATATTTTTGATATAGAAACTTGTAATAGCTCTCTATGCCCATTTCGCCATGTTATATGGACATTTTTTTAAATAGGAAATTATAATCCCTATTATAACTTTCATGTCTACGTTACGCATTTTCAAATGTAATAACGTTCAACAGACCTCTATATTCCAGTTTCTTTATTAATTAATTATGTTGTGTGAAAGAAGCTTGATGAAGGTTTTCAGACTTTTACTACAGTTATTTTAATATAACAATATGGAGAATCTTATGTACCATTATGTTCATAAAAATTATTTTTAACATATCTGATACAGCCTCTCAAACCCAGTTTTCGTGCCCTAATTTTCTGATATGGGAAACTGAAATAGCCCGTACACTTATAGATATCCGACTACTGGCGTGATGTACTTCGCCTACCACGAATACCATGAAGTCCATTGGGTGTTAATAAATCAAGCTTTAAATTATACGAAGCCATTCCTTCCGATCTATGATTAAATGAAGCTTCCTCAAACCGTCATTTCAAATACCAACTTCACTTACTTCGGGCACTCCTTAATCAAGAAGTTGGCGATAACTATGTTGAGAGCGATGACTAATAACGCAATAATTTCAGGGTTACGTTCATCCGTTTCTTGTTTTTATTTTCTTGGAATAAGGTATTAGTAAAGCACTCCATATAGAACTTTTAAGAAAGTGAAAAATTATTTTTTTTGCGCATTTATTTCAATGGAGTGTACTTAAATAAAATGAACAATAAAAATGTTGTTGTCTGTTTCATGTATTCTATATTGTTAAAAATAATTCTATAATTTGTGTTTTAATGTAAAGTTTTGCTTTTGGTTCTAACAGCAAGGTCAAAAATCAGGGCAGCGACGATTTTCTCATGACATCAACCAAAAAGGTATTTAATGTTATAAAATATTATTGTCTAACTTTTAAAGTGGTACTTGTTTATATCAAAAAGTAAACCATGGGATTCGTGTTATCACCAAACACAAAATGTAATATAATAAATAGGGTGGATATATTCTGATTAACTGTGAAAATCGTTAAATGTTTTAATTGCATCACCAGGAACAGCAATATTCGTGAATTCAGTATGTTATATAGTGTTCACCACTACAAAAAAGCTTGAACTTTTTCTTTGGTTTGCCAATGCTAAGGTATACTAACTAATGATTTCGAATTTCTCAAACTGATCGGTTTATTTTTTACAAAAATTCACCATATCTGTGATGAGAAATAAAGATATTATTTCATGTGCTTACAATATTTGATATGAATGGTGTTACAAAACAAAGTTAAGCAAGGAATGTCTATTTGTCAGATATATGCTTAAGAGTTAAAAGTGTACGTAAAAGTGAAAAGTTAAAGTATTTAAAAACTATATATAATAAGTTGGGTTTATATTTTAATGACGTCTAGAAACAATCTGTAGTTTTGCAAATAATTTAAAGTCTTAATTACAGGACATTTAGGCTCAGAATATCATAAAAGCTGTTTGGTTAAATAATTTAATGGAAACTACAGAACGTTTAATGACAGTTGTGTTACTTTGATCATATCGCAGACCACTTTTCCTAAATGTTTAAAGTAAGAAAACTTATTTTTATCACAAATATATATTACTTCATATAACTAAACATACAGCAAATTGTTACAACACGAAAAGGAGATTTTTTACCTCTTTACTCACATTCATTTTACGGTAATTGGTGTGACTTTAATGACAGTTGTGTTACTTTGATCATATAGCAGACCACTTTTCCTAAATGTTTAAAGTAAGAAAGCTTATTTTTATCACAAATATATATTACTTCATGTAACTAAACATACAGCAAATTGTTACAACACGAAAAGGAGATTTTTTACCTCTTTACTCACATTCATTTTACAGTTATTGGTGTGACTTTAATGACAGTTGTGTTACTTTGATCATATAGCAGACCACTTTTCCTAAATGTTTAAAGTAAGAAAGCTTATTTTTATCACAAATATATATTACTTCATATAACTAAACATACAGCAAATTGTTACAACACGAAAAAGAGATTTTTTACCTCTTTACTCACATTCACTTTACAGTTATTGGTGTGACTTTATGTTTAACATTACTCAAAGCTCTTCATTAGAAAAACTTTACAATGGATATCATTTCATATAACCTACCTAACCTGCCATTTAGCATGGCCTACAGTTTTATGCATGGCAATAAGCAAACTATGCCTTAGGTGAAAGTAAAATTGTAATTAGAAAATAAAAAAAAGAAAACGCTAACAGATTCAGTCTAAATTAGTAAAAACATTATTATACTCTTATGTTGGCACTGATAACCTTGTGGGATTATAATACTAAAATTCGGGGCTTGATTCCTACAGTGGGCAAATAACTGATAGTCCATTGTGCAGTTTTGTGCTTAACAACAAAACATGCATCTGTGTTATTCAATGTCATCATCCTCACGCATTATTTATTTGTGGTTATAGCTTTATAAATCATATAACAAGATAGGTGTATACCATTTTAAGTATAGGACAAGATAGTTTTAGGTATATAATTTTATAAATACATAAGGAGGTACATTAGGTTAATTTTACGTTACTTTAACCATATAATTCAATAATTCAGTTTAATAATATCTTATCGTTGGGTTAAATATATATATATAATCAAAACTATGGGAAGTAAGGCAAATCAGTTTACTTTATCTGACCAGCTTCGCCATAACCATGATCTAAGCCACGATAATATTTCAATAATGATAATGTAGAATCATACATGACAATTACTTAATTGATTTTGTATCTGTTGTATAGTATCCAGAAGTTCCATTGTGTCTTCACTGGCATCTATACCAAGTTTAGATTCAGCTCCCAGACCAATTGTAAGTGCTTTGGAAAAAAGTATGGAGTGGAGTTTCGATATATTCGAGCTAGAGAGAATAAGCGAAAAAAGGTAGGCATTTGCCGTGAAGGCACCAAGTATATAGTAGTTGTTGTTTTGTGTATTTGTTGTGCTTCTCCATTTCTATCTTCAATAAGTCTAAATAAAAACAATGAAAAAAAATAGCTTTACTTGCATTCATGAGCGCCATTTCAGATTTCTTTTGTGAGGGGTTAAACTTTTATTGGAAATCGAGAGTAGTCAGGCCCCTGTATGTTCTTGGTTTTTAAAAGGTTAAAATGTAAAAATCAGTTATGTTGGGAACATTTGCTCTGATTATTTATTAAGTTATTTAATAATCATTCAAATAACGCAAAAAATACATTAAATATATATATATTACAGAATTGAGGAAAAAACGACAATTTTGCATTTTACATGTATATCGCCATTAACGATATCACCAGTCAAAAACATGGTCGTTAATAAATAAAGTATTCGCGAAACGTACAATTGTCTTTGTTTTTTCCTCAATTCTGTAATCATGGAGTGTCACCAAGTACCGACGGTTTCAAGTATCAATTAGATATATATATATATATATGTGTGTGTGTGTGTATTATTCCTAAACTAAATTACTTTACCTACATGGGGCTATTACCCCTCCGTGACCTACAAAAATGGCGATCTTGCTTGCATGTATCCACGTGCTTATATTGATTAGGCATGTTTGCTGTTAAAAAGTTTCAATAAACATTTCTAGCGTTTTTAGTTATTTGTTTGTATTAAATGAGAGGAGTGAATCAAAAGGAAGAGGCACTTAATCTTTATAGGCCTATCATATCAGATTTTCACCATTAATGATGTGAACAACCAGGCAACTTGTCAGGTGTCTTCAAGTGATGGATATTATATTGTGCTAGCTCAAGATTGTGTACAGAGTGGAGAAAGACGGTCCATCCAGAGCACACGATGAGCATTAAGGGGCATGTCACTTCCAATGTCATTTCATAGTTGTCGTGGCAGGACATAACATGTGATATCGCTAGAAACAGTTGCATATTTATCTAATGATAAGACCATTCGTCGGACATAATTTATTGATAACCAGCATTTGGGAAGAAAAAGCTCGTTTATATGTGGACATTCCCTTTACAAATACAAGAATACAAAGACGTATAGGCATAAAAATACAATGAAGGGTTGCCATTAGACAAAGCCCCAAAATAAACATTTAATGTAAGTTATAAAATAACAAGAAATATATAAAGTCAATTATAAAAATATGAAAAGCTACTTAAACTCTATGTATCATCTTAACTAAAATACACAAATAACGGAATCAAGCCATATCAATTATTGGATTGTATAGAAATATCTGCATCTGATGTCAAGTTTATTTGAAAGATAAAACGATCTTTTGAGCAACGAATGAAAAACACCATGATACCATAAACAAATAAGCAAGCTAACTCTTGATGAATGCTCATTTGGAACCAATTAATTGAGCAGTAATGGAACAGTTGCAAGTCCTGTACAAGGATAAGCATTGTAAAGTAATATATTTAAGGAACACAAATGCCCATACCAAATTACTAAACCTTAAAATAATTCAAGGATTAGAAACTAGCAACATCGCTTTCAAGATTCTACAAAATATTTCATTATTTACATTATTGGTATCTGGAAATATATCAATCACCTGAGAGTTACAACTTATCAACAGCAGTCATCCCTCCATTTCAACAATCAGGAAGTCCCAAATCATGTCCACCTTCGCCAGTAATCCTTTAACTTCAAAAGTAAGAAAATCTCAAACCATGTCCATCTTCAACAGTAATCTTTCCATTTCACCAACCAGGTAGTCAAGAACCATTTCTACCTTCTTTGCTCTATTTTCATTCATAATTGGAAGTCAACTTATCCCAGAATCAACCACTACCACTAAACAGATAATTCACCGCGAGTACATATCGCCTGTGGTTGTAATATGACTTGCTGATTTGCATATTGAAAAAAATTTTAATATAACGTTCTCAACGCTGCAGTACATATGAAATCGAGAACGAAAAATTAATTTTGGTTTAAATAAAACTTTAATTGAGAATGAATACACTAGAAAGTGGGTCAAACTTTTGTCATTCTTTATGTCGAATCTAAATATTCAAAAAGAACCGAACTGTAATTCATTAACTTGCTCTAAACCATGAGTTTAGTCTGCTAAAATTTCAACAGAAACATACTTGTATCAGACGCGGCATAGCGGCTCATAGAATGCCTCCGAGTTTTTGTGTTTTTTTCAAATACAAATTTTTAGCTCACAGCTCCGTCATCTCTTGACCGATTTGAGATATAATTCTAGTTTTGGTCTCAGGAGGTCAAACCCTTTCAATTGATGTATTTGACCACAACCAAGGTCTCATAGATTAATTTACTCTAATCCTGCCTAGAATAATTTCAATTTGAGGGTAGGCTGGTAGAGATCCTGATGAATAATAAAATTGAATCGGGAATACGCACGCCTCACTCTGGGTATTGTTGGCGCACAAAAATATAGCTAATAAAATTGAAAAAAAAGTCTTATAAATTAATTTACTCTAATCCTGCCTAAACGAATTTCAAGTGCCACGGCTATTGAGAATTCTCTCTTGTTTTATACGTAAATAGACTATTTCAGGAAAATGATTAGTTGTTAATTTAAATCTTGATGCTCTTTTTTACGGATTGTTTCTTGTACGAAGGTCAAAATTGTTCTATCAATTTTTATATTTATGCTCATTTTTCAGGGCACTTACGTGGCTGGGAATGACTGTCTTCTCTTCTTTTAACGCCTGCTCTGTACTAAGCTGTGACGAAAAAACGTTAAAAAGCTGGTTAACCCTAATAGAAGCCAATTACTATAACAATCCTTACCATAACTCAACACATGCGGCAGATGTCATGCAAGCAACTGCTTTTTTTCTCCAGAAACCAAGACTTAAGGTGAATCGTATGTAGATATTACAAACACCTTTTAAGGATTTTCAGTAATGTTTATTTTCTTCTTTTTAAGTGCGTTTACACAAAACTTTTAGCAGAAACTTTCGTTGCTGCACATTTATTTCTATTCTAGAATGTTTAATTTCACCAATGGTAGAAGCCATCTGTACCAGATACCTCCCAATATATCACTGATAATCGTAACTTTGACGCATTCATACTTACCGATAATGTTTTTAGTTCTATCTACACATACTTTATTATCTACAGAATCATTTTTCCAGACAGAACTAGAAATTAGATGCCTTCCATGACCTAATTATCTGTATAAACTGGAAAACAATGTCTACCCAAGCCTTGTTCAATTAACTTGTTTTCATAAACTGTAAATTAAAATATTTCATTAACTAATATTTACTTACCTGTTTTTTTTTACACTTCTTCCTCTTGATAAAAATGGTACTTTACCTATATACAGTATAAAACACTACAATTTTTAATGCATATGTATGTACATTTATGATATAGATATTAATATTGTTTTATATAATCGTTTAAGGTTTTTATTTTAGGTTAATAGACAGTAGCAATACATTGTTTTTATAAATATGTAGGGTTGTCCAACTCTGTGCTAGTGCAGGGTCACATAAAACAGGGTGTCCATAGATTACTAAATCACTTTTTTAATTTAATAGAATAAGAACTACATAAAATAAACAATTGCGATTTGTGGTATTAGGTCGTCAAGAAATTAATTTCTAGATGGAAAAACCCGAACAACTTATCTATCAAAACAAAATA